ATTGCCTTGCCTAGACCTCTCCCTATGGGGAGCTCCGCAGCTGTCTCTGTGGAGAGGCCAGCTTTGGTCACGAAGGAGCAAAAGAGAAGTGTAGATAAAGAGAAAAGCGCACAGCCTGAGCATATGGTAAAGCTCCTCTAGTCAGGATGGAGGGAGTGGGGGCTTCCTTGTGAGTCCCCGAGTGTAGAGACAGTCTGCATGCCGACAGTCAGCTTCCCAAGTGGGCTGCGGATAGCTGCAGATTGTCTCTGTTCTTTGCCTCTCTGACACCAAATTTTTATTGTTTAACTAGGAAACAGCTCCTCAGCTTGGGAGTTTACTTCTTCTAAGTTAAATTTCTGATGGGATTGTGAAGGCTCTGTGAGTGTGGGGGGTGAACTTCCTGGCAGAGGAAGTAAATTACAGCTGACTAACAGAGAGGGAAGCAGCCTGTGGAGCAAATGACCCTCATGATGTGAAAGGACTGGGTTACTCAGGAATATGGAGCTTCACAGATTGGAAATAGTACAGAAAGAATTGGAGATGCTTGCAGGAGTAGGAGGAGAAAGATACACTGGCACATCAGGGTTTTCAACATTTGTTGACTGACAAGATGATTAGAATTCTTTCAACTAAACTATGAATGGGCTGCAGGCGTAGTTCATCACCAGGAGGACGTCCCCGTGACTCAGTGAATTCTCATGAGAGTTTCCTGGTTATTCATTCAGGCTTTGACTGACTAAATCAGTGATTCCTTTCTAAGACTTGTTAAAATTCTTTTCCTAATTACATGTTGATGTTGTAGATTATGATAGTACTAACTCAACATTTCTTTCAGCAAAACTGAGTGTTTTCTAGGCCAAAACGTTTTGAATGGGTGCTTCAGATTGTGTACTCTTTGAAGTTCTTGAGATCCTCTGCTCAGGGATAAGACGCCCTGGCATTGCCAATAGTCTGAGGCTCTTCCTTCGATAGCAGCTCCGTTGGGGTCTGGGGCCCAGCATGAGTTACCAATAGCTTCCAGTTTCATCTTCTGTGTGCTTTTTGTTGGGAGGGTGATTACAAATGGCCAATTCGTGTTCGAGAGCTCCATCCCTAGTTGTTCCTCCCCTGACTTCCTGTGAGATTCTCAGGACAGTCAGAGGTTCTGCGGAATCCATGCCTTGAGGGACTGTGACTATGGCCTCTTTCCCACTCCTGCCCCTACCTGGGTTCCTGCTTGTTTCTGAGGTACTGCTCCACTGCCCACCTCCTGTGAGTTCTGTGGCTTTATGTCAGTCATGTTGGCTTTATTGTTTACAGGTCAGGAACCCTGATTACAGCAGCAGTCTCTGGACATAGGACTCAAGTTCTGTTTTGTTTTGTTTTTCTTCCAGTACCAGGAATCGAACTCACGACCTTGCGCTTGCCAGGCAGGCGCTGTGCTGCTGAGCTAAATCCCCAGCCCCTCAAGTTCAAATCATGACAGCTGCGCAGCCCGTATCACTGAATAGGAATTTTTCACTGCGTCATTGATGGGAAGCTCTGATGGACTTTGGAGCCCAGCTGGCCCAATCTCCTTCACTTTAAAAGTGAGGAAATAAACACACATCGTGAAGGAGATGTGTAAGGTGTCCTAAATCAAACATGCCACATTGACACCCTACACATATATCTCAGAGTTCATCTGCCCCAAGGCAACTTGTCCACACACCCTTGCTCTATTCTGCGTGCTCTCTGACCTCTGGTTCCTATTTTTGAGGTGACTGGGCAGAACTAATGCTGGCAGCATGACCTTGGAAAGGATCAAAGGTAATTGGACCACACAGGGATTCAAGCTGAAGCTTGGTGATATCGGTGCTAAGATTCACATAGATGGCTGAACCATCGGTAGTTTGCTGAAGTCACAGGAGTACCCTGTGCTCTCCGCTGGCCTCCAGACGGGGCCTCTGGGTGCACTGGGACTTTGTATAAGGAAGGGGTTGTTAGCAGGCTCCGGAACCAGACAACACCCCTCGCGAGTGAAAACAACTAGTCTATAGTATACAGCTCATACTTTTCATCTGAATTAAAGATTACTTTCTACCCATTTCTAATTTTGTGGAAGTGTGTGTGTGCGCATGTGTGTGTATTCTAAGCATAACAAGGCCCTAAATTCTGAAAGGATAAGCATTCTGAATCCATTTTGGAGCAAGAGTTATATTTTTAAATTGTTTATTTGAATCTGTTTAGCAAACCGTAGTTCACAAAATGACATCTGCCAAGAATTTCTTTCGTGTGTCATAAGTCTTTCTTCATGGCTGCATTCAATTCATAAATATATATTGAATGCCTATTAGTGTTAGATGTGGAGGACAGACATGAGCAGAAGCTGCTGTGGAGCTGTCACGTCCAGTAGCTTCTTGCCCTCGAGGAGCTTACAGTCCCACTGTGAAGATGGTAAACCACATAAGCAAGCACACAGATGTGGTGGCATTGCCGAAGAGGGGATGGTTCTGTGAAATTCTCACCAAGAAATTGCTTCCCATCACAGAATTCTCTGCAGCACAGGCCTAGCTACTCTTCACCAACCTTCCCTCTAATTACTTGCTGTTTTTCATTTATTGTGCCTAAATGCTCATGTTGGAGCAGGTGGATACTATTAATCTCATTTTACAAATGTGTTAGTCAGCCTTCTGTCACTATGACAAAGTTCCTGACATCCATTACTTAAAGGAGGAGAGGTTTATTTTGGCTCACAATTTCTGAGGTTTCAGTCCATGGCCACCCAGCTGCACTGCTTTTAGGCCTGTGGCCAGACAGAAACATCATGGCAGCAGAGCACGCTGGAGAAAAGCTCCTCACTTCATGGCAGCGAGAAAGCAGAGGAAAAAGGAAAGATCCTGGCAGACAGGAAGGGGCCAGGAACCAAGGATAGTCCCCAAGGTAATGTCCCGTGATCCACTCCCTGCAGCTGAGTTCTACCTCCTGTTTCTGTCACCTCTTAATAATATCATCAAATTTTGTTCCCGTCAGTGGATTAAAGCCCTCATGACCTGCTCATTTCTCTAAGCTCCACCACCTCTGAACATTGCTGCACTGTGTATCAACCCCTCAATATGTGAGCATTTGGAGAACACTTCATATTTAGAACACAATAATAGATAATAAAACTCACATTTATGATGAAACCACAGAGATAATGTAGGTTCTTCTGGCTGCAAAGGTCATGTGTTTTCCATTTTGAGGCACAGGGTACTACTGTGAGTATGAAGATGTGAAGTTGTATGAAAATGTGGGAGCTAGCCTCTTTGACCTGCATCACACAATAACCGTTCTTTACTGATAGCTGTATCTGAATGTCTGTGCTCTCTTGATAAACAGTACCTTATAATACCTATATGCTTCTATATGAGACTCTGAATAAATAAAATGGTCCATCATTAACCAAATATTTATTTGAACATAAGTATATGACTTCACATTCTTTCTGTTTTAAAGATCTCCACTACCACCTCTGAGCTCACTTAAATGTCAAAAAAATTGTTTTCTGTATATTGACCTGAAGGGAGTGAAATGATCCTTAGGTTTAGCGGAGGCTCAGAGAGGTCAACTGGTGCATTCAAAGTGGCCCTGAGTGTTGCTCGCTTGACACTCAGTCCAGAGCTAGCTGCTGCTTGCATGAGATTATGTGCAGCCCCGAGTGGAAGGGGCGTGCCTGGTGAGCCCTGGCCGCTGATGGAGTGCAGACCTGGAGAGCTGTCCTCCCAGAAGCCCTGAACCGCCTTCAGCAGTGGCAGTGGTTGTGACAGTAGGTCTAGGACGCTAAAAAAAAGCAAACACCTCTCCCCTGAAGGATGAGGAAGAAAAACTAGGTCGGAAAGGGTAAAACCAGGGGTACGTGGCGTTCATGCTATTGCTGAACTCACTACTTCTGTGATTTTTCCTGCAATAACTCGGTAGCTGCACTGTCCGACACTAGGGAGGCGAGCTATTAGCTGTGTCCAGGTGGCACCTGCTTTGATGAGGGAGATGAACGGTAATCAGTTCCTCTTTTGGTCATGTAATATCTGGATAGGCGCTGTGCCGGGGAGGTTCAGGATGCTGTGGAGACTGACTGGGCCACCTGCAGAGGCAGCGCTCAGAGGAGGCCGGTTGAATGGAGGCCTGAGGCGCCTCTGGGAGCCAGGTGAAGAGGCAAGAAACACCTGGAACAGAGGGAATTTGAAAAGGGTTGTGGACACTGAAGCCAGGGGGACCCTGGCCAAAATCGCTCTTTCCAGACATGTGCCCCTCATATATAGAACATTCTAATACTCCTAAATGCCATCTTGCACACAGCAGAATAACTGCAGTTTTCCTATGGTTGAAAACTTTATGCTTCAGAAAGCTCAGTTATAGGCCTACTTCTGGAAATGCCATTACTTTATGCCAGAAAAAGTGCGGTGGAGTGGGGAATAGAGCCTTTCAGGGAACTACATGGGAAGAAGCTATTTTAATTCAGTTGTGAATTAGCGTTGAACTTCTCAGGCTCCAGAAACATCTTGAATACTTTGGCTTAGAGGAGTTGGCTGTACATTCATGAAGTTTTCTATCAGGTCTCGATGTCATGAGCCGGGAACATGTTAAAACAGAAGCTCTCCTGAAGTCACCTGAAGCTTTAGGCACGCCAACCCAGCATGGGGCATAGATGCTGGCATGCCAGGAAGTCACAGATCAAGCAAAGAAGGTCAGGCTTGCTAATGCCAGCCGTGTGAGCATGGCTGTCCATAGACTTGCACCTGGAACCCCTCAGTGCTTTGTAGGCAGGTCCAAGGAGATTAGAAACACTGCTCCCCTGCCCCAGACCATCGGATTTGTGACGATAGGACCGGGGAGTCTGGGTTAGGAGCAAAGGGTAATTACTGTGCTATGTCAGATCATAGCCAGTGAGTTATAACAAGCTGAGGTAACGCTTAATACTCCCTTCTCCCAGCTCGCAATGAAAAGCTGTTGAATGTCAAATGTGATTTGCAACTTTGAAGTCAAAGTGTTTCCTGTCACATGTCATCCGGTTGAGCAAGTCCACACCTGTTCATCTGGTCATTGGTTAGAAGGAATGCAAGAAAAGCTACGGGCCTTTGAGCTACAGCAGTTTCGTATTTACTACCCTGATTCCCTTTCCAGCTTGCACCTTCTCTGCAGTTTCCCTTTCATCTTAGCACTGTAAGTAATGCGTGAGCCCCTCCCTATGGAACATCGAGATCTCTTTTAAATGACAAAATCATCTCCAGCTCGCTAACTGGCTTGTAAGAAGAGCTATTTGCAGTACTGGAAACATGAACTATTTCGTCAGGTGTGATTCTAGGGACCGAGGGTAAGGCCGTTCCCTTTGCTGTTTATTTCCCTTTAACCAACAGCTTGTGTTCTTTTACTTAGAGTATAGAATAAATGGAAAAGTAAATGGCCTTATTGCACCATGCCAGACCAGAGAAAATTATTTACAAATCTCTACCAAAAACAAAACTGTGAAAGCTCTATTATCAAGTAAAAGTTGAAGAGCTGTTCTGAATTCTCTGGTTAGTGTGGCTGCTTTGCTTCGTAAACTAGAGATTGAATAGGGGCTGGAGTTAGGAACTAGAGAAGGATTCTGGGGGGATCTGCAAGCATCTTTATAGATAAATAAATGGCTGAAGGGTGACTCCAGAGTTCTGTAATACTTTTTTAAAAATCACGTTAACTATTATTACTTGTTGTATACACCTACAATGACAGTGTACTTAAAATGCCGTATCAGAATAGTTGTATGCCTTCTCAACTTGGTTGCTGTTCTAAAAAGCATAACCATGCTTTTATAAATAAAGCAAAAGCTTTTTTCATATTAAAGGCGTGCTACTGGGAGATGGAATGTCTCCTTCTCCGTACATAACTGCACAGTGATTAAATATTGACTAAGAGCCAGCAGCTGACAGCCAGGGGCCTCACCTTGGTAAATGCTGATGTGTGAGGCTGAATGTAAATCCAGAGCCATCCCTGCGGGGCCGGGCTTTTCCTTGTGAAGTGGAGAGCACGCGCGTTGTGAGTTACGCTTGAGGTGTCAAATTCAAGTGCTGTAATAAGAGGGTGTAATTTGAAACAAGTCATTCCTCAAAAAGCAGCCCAACTCTGTCAAAAGAAAAACGTATTTTCCTAATCAGTCTGAATAGGGAAGATGTTAGTAGAAGTTTTAACAAAACACCCAGAGAGAGTACCCTCGGAACAGTGCTATTTGCGGAAATAAAAGAGCTGTCCATCACTGGGACCGCTTATACTCTCAGGGACAATGATTGTTTGCTTTATGTGAAATAAACTGGCTGAAACCATCAGATTTATTTCTGGGACATGAATATTTGATTGGAAAAGTTTCAATACTCTATTTTTGTTGTATGTATATTTTCCTTTTTGTTGCTGTTTTAACAGTCTGGCCATTTAAAATACACAATTGCTTGTTTCCTTCTATGGGAGAAAATTAGATGTTTTGCTTCGTTTCTGAAAGAAAAATCTCATTTTATTTTTTTCTGTTAATAAGATTCATTAGAAGATTTAATTATTTTTATTCCGAGACTTTTATACCCTGCAGCAAATACTCGAAAAACTAACTCAACAGTTGTTTCATCATGTTTGCAGTTATAATGAGGTAAAATCTGTTTATTCTTTATTGGTTAGAATGATTTAAACACAGGTCTCCTTTTCAGCGAGTATAATAATCATAAAAGTCTGTTTCTCATCCCAGCAAATTTTAATAGACTTTCCCAACTTACAGACTGTCTATGCTAGCTATATTATGGTAGTCACCTGAGCACCAACATTACCATCTTCAAACTAGAGTGAAATTAAAAGATACTTTTTAATATTATTGTATTTCTCAAATAACTCAGATTTAGCCAAAATGGATTTGTACAGATTTGTTAATCTCTATTAAAAGTATTGGTGTATATCCATTTAAAAACTTCAGTTTTTCTTAAATATCAGTGATTCTATTCTTCCTTGAAATGCAGTGGAAAGTAGATTTGGTTCGGCTAAACCTTACATGAGAAGGGATGGTGATAAACATTGTTTAGTTCCTCACCGATGGTCAGAAGCACGTAAGTGAATATGAGAGAGACCAATGAGTCAAAGTGTGCGGGTGCACAGGTGTGACTGTGTACATGTGTGCATGTGTGTGTTCTGTGGTGGGCGTAGAACATGCAGCGTGGGGCTGGGGATTTAGCTCAGCGGCAAAGCGCCTGCCTGGCAAGCACAAGGTCGTGAGTTCGGTTCCCGGTACCGGAGAAAAACCAAAAAAAAAAAAAAACAACATGCAGCGTGCAGCCTACCCCTTGACGAATTGGAATAATCCTTTCCTCTTTCAAAAAAGCCCAAAATTTCTATAAAAGTTGGATTAAAGTGGACATTGAGGAAGAGTTTTAAAGACAGAAAGGAATTCACGGGCAGGCATAGTCTGGAAACCGAGTGGGGGTCGGGTGTGACTGGTCAGACTGGGTTCTGACTGGTACAGAGAAGGCTTGGTGAAGGCTGACTCTGCCCGGGACCCCGTGCCAGAGGCTCGCCTGCGATACTGCCTTCGAGTCCACTATCCATGTATCCATTTTAGTACAGAGATGAGGCCAAGGAGACTCAGAGTTCAGTAACTCCCACATGGCTAGGGAGTGTTGATTGGAACTCCAAACAGAAAGTGACTTAAAGTTTATTTCCAACAAAGCAGCTCCCACATGGGCTGAGTGTAGGATGTGAGCCTCTACCTGACTTCAGCCTGGTTGGCTTTGCTCTGAGCTGTGTTTGGGAACACTAGAAGCTGCTGGGCCACCTTCCTCCTCTTTGTTCATCTCTTTTTATCCCATGGGCGCACATCCTTGGCTCAGGCCTTCATGTGTTTGAACTGGATGTTGACTGTCAGCTTTACATAAGCCACCCGCGAGTCTGCCCACTGCGGAGAGCTTAGTGATCTGAATGGACTCAGAGTGAAGTAATGGATCTCTTTCCTCATATTCATGGTTGTTTTTTTTTTTTTTAATTTTTATTTTTTGTCTTTTTGAGACAGGGTTTTGCTATGCAGTTCAGGCTGACCTTGAGCTCACTTTGTAGCCCAGGCTGGCCTCGAACTCACAACAATCCTCCTGCCTCAGCCTCCTGAATGCTGGGATTACAGGCATGTGCCACCACTTCCGGCCTCATGGTATTAATGTGATCAGACAGCAAATCCAACATATCAATTGCGGTATTTTCCTCCTACAAAAGCACACATTTCCAGTTAAATGGGGTTTTTTGTTTGTTCATTTTTACTTTTTAGGCAGAATCTCCCTTTGTAGTTCAGACTGGCCTTGAACTCGCTAAAACTGTGGCCATCCTCCTGCCTCAGCCTACCAAGTGCTGGGATTACAAGTATGCACCACCACATCCAGCTAAACAGAATCTTCACAGATTTAGCTTAAGGACTAACTACTATGTTGGAGCTGTGTCTGTAGAGCTCCTTCTGGCCCCTTTTGCCTTCATACTGTATTTGGACCAGTTCTCCACATCTGGGCCTGAATCTGGTCTACAGGCACTGAGAATCTGGCTTGGTCTCAGGAAAACTTGACTTAGGTTTAGGTAGGGGAATGAAGAAAATCAACCAAGGGGAGTTTTTATTTTTTTCAATTGCATAGGAAAGGAAAATTTACCATCCTGGAAGGTTCAAAGTAATCTAATCAGAAGTGACTTCTGACCCATTTTCAGCTGCGCTGGGACAGTCTCCGAACCGGAAGGAGGCAACCGGCCTCCACTGAGCCCGCGGTGTGGAAGCTGTGAATTCTTAGGAAAGCACATTCTTTAGATTAATGTATCTAGAAAAGTCACACAAGTACACAACATTTAAGGCTAAATTTCCCACCTCACTCTTTTTCAGAAGAACAATGCACTGATAAAAATCTGCTCTAAAAGCTCACTGTAGATACAAACAGAAAGACCCAGTCACTGCAACAGCGGCACTTAAAACAGTGGGGCCTGCGGATGGGAACAAAGCTTAAGAATAGCCTGCTGGGTCCTGAGCATTCTTACACCGGTAGGAAAGTAAACACAGAAACACTCCGCACAATTCCTGGATGTGACTTCCTGTGGGTTCATCTATACACTCTGGAAGATTCCTGAGGCGGGCTTTATTGCCTGCTGAAATTGAGTGGAGGGACTTGGCTGTTCTCCAAGAACCCTTCTCAGGGTCAAAATGTCTACTTCCCTTTCTCTGTAAATTTACCACAATTACTCATTCAGCACACATCAACAGGGAGCTCACCTAATGATAAGCATATAGTGCTGGGGGGAAAAGCCACGTAGTATTCCATTCACAATGTAGGACACATCATTAAACTTACAGATTCCTGCATCCCCCATATTAGTCAAAGTTCTCCAGCAAAACAGAACCAGTCACGTGTGTACCGAGAAACAGGCCTGGAGAGGTTAATGTTTTTTGTTTTTTGTTTTTTTTGTTTTTGTTTTTGTTTTTGTTTTTTGGTTTTTCTCCGGTACCAGGAACCGAACTCACGACCTTGCGCTTGCCAGGCAGGCGCTTTTGCCGCTGAGCTAAATCCCCAGCCCCTGGAGAGGTTAATGTTAAGGAGTTGCCAGCAGACTGGAAGTTCCAGCAAGAGTTCATGTTGCACTTTGGAGTCCAAAGCTGTCAGGAGGAAAATTGAGAGACTCCTCTCTTGTCTCTGAAGGTGCTCAAGGGATGGGGCAAGCCTGGCTCGTTTTCTGGAAAGTTATCTGTTCAGGTCAAAGTCAGCTGAGTCACATGTTAATTATATGTGAAACATACCTTCACAGCGACAGCTAGGCCGGTGTTTGACCACACAGTGCGACATCTTGGCCTAGTGAAGATGACACCTAACATTAGCCATCACGCGCCACCCTGTAGCCCTACCTTCAAATAACCAGGACATGAAAATGTAATAGCTCTACGACATGAGTAGGCATCCGAATCCCCTGGAACACCTTGTTAAAACACAGTTTACTGGGGCTCCCCTCCCTGGAGGAGTCTGGGGTTAGGTCCAAGCACAGGTGCTACTAGCCTGGGACCATACTTTTGAGAACCACTCAACTATGTAATCCAGGATCTGCCTCGTGGCATCAGGGCTCAGAAAATTATCTTGTGATCTCAAGACAGTTTTATTTCTCAAAGATGGACACAAATAAACCAAGATTATACAGTGCGAAATATCAATGTCAGTTTGCTGATTTTTCATAACTAAAGTCACCATAGTGACTAGAATGATCATATCGACTTAGGAGGAAGAGTTCGTCCTGTGGGGAACTCTGGGAAGTTGAGCAATCACCATAAGGAGTTAACATTTTAATGTTTGCTGCAACCACCTCCCCGACAAGGATAGTCTTCTTCTCAGGGTTCACCACCCAAGCCCCCCTCTCCCTGGACTTTGTAATTGGATTAAGGTATTAAAACAGAGACATTGCTTGGGGAGTAGATGCTTTAAGTACTGAGCTTCAGAAAGGATGTTCCTTGCTGCTGTGTAGCTGCTCCGCAAGGGATCTCAAAGTTCGCAAAGATAAGAAATAATGTTAATGAATCATTCAAATTTTAGTTGTTATAGAAACTTTTTATTAGAAGCAGCGTATACTGTGTTTATGAAAGCGGAGTTTGAGTGGCTTTAGAATGTGTGAATGTGTGTACTTTTATGTTGGATTGTCTTTCTTGGTTATGGTTTGTATGAAGTTGCACTCTCCCCTTAAAACTATTTCTATCTTAACCTGCACATAAGAAGGACATTGAAAAAAAATTTATACATGTATATTTTCAATGTCTATTTAAAAGTTGTTTTCCCCTTAAGCTCTGACTTTCTGCCTGTATGATGCTATTTTAAAAATTTACTTTAAGAATAGGATTCTTTTTTTTTAATAAAAGAAGAAAACCCTGAGCCAAATTGTGTCTCAAAAAGTCATATCTATATTTCTTATTTTAGTGTTCTGTGCTTAGATCCTGCAATCAGCTTCATCACCCTGAAAAATGTGGCCTTTTGGATATAGGTCTTTAATCCTGGCTCTGAGAAATCAGGTGTGGACTGAGCCTTCACTGACCTCTCGCACTTTAGCTGCTTTTCACTTGTGAGAGTTTCAGAGAGTGGATGTCATATGAGGAATTGGTCACACAAGTGAAGCAGGGCAGTCCAGAGGCTGCTGTAGTAATTGCTGGTGACTCTTAGCTGCCTCCTCTGGGCTGAAGGCAACAGAAGGCAAGAGGCTGACTAGAATCTTCTTTTTTTTTGGTTTTTCTCCGGTACCGGGAACCAAACTCACGACCTTGCCCTTGCCAGGCAGGCGCTTTGCCGCTGAGCTAAATCCCCAGCCCCTAGAATCTTCTTAAGATGCCTCAGGTAGCTCAAGCATAGTACTGTGGGAGAGGACACAAGAGGCACTGTCAGATCACAGAAGCGTGTCCCTGGGCTAGGCTCCCTGCCCTGGGCGAAGGACTCTGCCCCAGGATGGACCTCAGGAGGCACATACCTCCCTCTTCCCCAGGCCACCCTCCCTCTGCCTCCCGTGGGCAGGATCTAGCTGGGACCCATGTGCCAAAGGGAATGGGAGATGTCCTTCCTCAGTCTCAGCATCATAGAACAGAGGTCCTTGGCCTTTTTTGCTTCTTCGTCCTTCCTGTGTTGCTCTTTGCTATCAATTTTATTCATTTATCTGTATATAAAACTTTGTGTATCAAGTGAGGTTAGTGTTAGTGATTGAAAGAGCTCTTATTTATAAAGAACAAGTGAGAGAACCTGATTTTGATCAGTCCTGTATGTTCTTTTTTCAGTCATCAACAGTAAATCATTTTTCTGTTAATGGAAGAAACGAAAGCACTCAGCTTTACTTCTAAAATCCTAGAGAACAGAAGGCCGTGTAATATTGAAGTTTTTCAGAGATAGTGATGCTATAGAATATTCTCATTTCACTTCTGAGATTTTTGTTTTGCTTGAGTATGAACTGTGTCTTTACAATAACAATTCCTGTCTCTTGTGCCTAGAAAAGAAAGTGCCTCATTTTCTTTCAAAGATTAGAATTCTGTGGGCGTCTCTTTTTGCTACAGTTGCTTTGTTTGTTCATTTCTAGAGATGACGGGGTTGGTCCTGGTGGCGCCCTCCTTGGACTGCATTCAGCTCTGTTCAGTAAGCCTTTGTGAAGGACACGTCAGATGCCACACCGTACCTTAAACCCTGGAGGCCAAGCAGACCCAGAGGAACATGGCTTCGGCCATTTGACAGACTTAGCCTTGAGTTCCAGCAGTGCCCCGTACGTTTCTTAGCCTGTCCCTACCTCTGTGATGTGCAGGTAACCCTGTAGCGGGGCTACTACAACTCTTTGTGTGGTAAAGCAGCTGACATCAGTGTGGAAACAATGACTGCTCCAGCAATGTTATTATTTTGTTAATCATTCACAGTCTCATACAGACCTTTTCATGTACTATGAAGTTTAATAGTGGAATTTTCATTTGCTTGGATCTTTGTACTTCATTCATATAATTAGTCAGCATTTTAACTGCTTATTAGTTTTCAGTCATTGGCCTAGAAAGGAGTATTTATTATAAAATTGTGAGTTTGCTTAGGATGTATTCAGTTTTCTTGGTCACCTCTAGATAGGATTTGAGATGAGTAGATTGCCATTTACAAGATTAGTAAGGGAATTTAAAATAACTCAAGTGCTTTAACCATTTTTCAGGCCTTTTGTTTTCATGTTTACTTACAAGTTGACAGTTTATTAATCAGAAGAGAGGTTTGCTGTGAAGTTGCGGGGAAGGACACACTGTGTACCAGTGACTAGAATAGTGAGTTGAGGGCCGGGGAGATAGCTCAGTGGCATAAGTGCCTGCCTAGCAAGTGCATCTTCCTGAGTTCAATTCCCAGTACCAAAAAAAAAAAAAAAATAGAATAGTGAATTGAAACTTTAGAAAGAATTTGGATACTAATTTTAACCAAGTCAGAAATGTGTCCATAACCCTAGTCAGTCTATTGTAGTTCATTTGTTTGTTTTCTTTGCCATCTCCTTCATTCTCAAAGGTCTTAGCTGATGAGAATGTTTACAAGTAGCATATATTTACCATGTATGAATGGGCTATGTACAAACCATGACTTAGCCTAGTTTTGTTAGTGTAGGGTATGGTTCTTAGCCCTTCCTGTGTGTCATAATCCTTGAATGTCTTTAACATATTCAGGTCCAAGGTATCACATGCCCCACCCTAGTATTCTGATTCATGGGACCTTAGTATTTGTGTAAGTGGTACACCTACCTGTATCTGTTTAAGCTTCCAGCTGGCTCCAACATGCAACCAGCCTGAAAATCACCTTTATAAAATGTCCGGTAAAGCTAAACAGTGTGCTTAGGTCTTTCTCTTATATTGTATGTGTTGGTCGTTTCATCGCTTACTAGATGTGGGTAAATGTGTTAGTTTCCTCTTGCAACAACAATAAATTGCCATAAACTTGTAGCTTAAAATAACAGTTTTTCACTGTTCTATATTTCTGGAGGCCAGAAGTTTGCAGTGATCTTATAGGGCTGACATCAAGGTGTTGGCTGGGCTGGTTTCTTCCAGAAGAGAGAGTCTGTTCTCTTGCCTTTTCCTACTTTTATAGGATGTCTGCCTTCAGTAGACACCATTCTGACCTCCACATCAGTCCCTATATCTCCTTGTCTCTCCTCCTCCCTCCTATAGGGATCCTTGTATTTCCTTGGGACCAACCAGATAAACCAGGATAATCATCTCAATTTAACTACACTTAGAAAGTCTCTTCTTTGTGTAAGGTAACATAATCACAGGTTCTGGGAGTTAGGACATAGATATATTGGGGGAAGGTATTGCTCTGCTTAGCAAAGCAAGAATATGTTTCAGATTCCCCCCCTATTCTCTAACCCTCCGAGTCAGCCATGGCTTCCTTTCCCACACTTCCTGACAGGCAGCAGCAGAACATTTTGCAAAGTGATAAATACCACATTCAGAATTTTAATTTTATTGATTTTTTTTAAAAGGCTACCAATTTTTAAATTTTCAAGTGCCCTATGTACTTGTTTCAGGAATAGATTGCATAACATTTGAATCTCGTTAGAAATCTCATTAGCTCTGCAATTAATATACTTTCCGTAAATTTCCCTCAGGGAGGACACTTTTTTGCCAATAAAACAATGAATCTCAACAGGGGAGTCTTGGACGTATTTGTCCAACAAGCATTGACTGAGCACCAATTATATGTTAGGGCCCAAGACACAAAGGATCCCTAATCTCAAGGCCAGGGACAAAGAAGTCACCCCTATCGGTAACTGTATTTTAGTATAATCGGTTTTCTTTATAATCCTGTTTTTTGCAATATACATGTAAAAACATCATCCTGAGAAGGGGTCCTCCACTTCACAAATACAATTAAGAACTTCCGTGATGACCCAGCAAATAGAACTTTAATAAGATGGTAGGTCTTACCAAAAGGGTGATCAGAATATACAGGAAGCTGCCCACGACAGGGGAGAGGCTCTCGCAACAGCTTTCAATTCCACCTACTTATTGGGATGATGGGGATGGTAACTTTTTAACAGTCATACCAACCCCTGGGACCTAACCTCAGAGATTTTGTTTTAATTAATTTGGGGAGGACTCGTATCTATCACAGAAGAAGCAATGTTGGGTTCAGTCTTGTGGAAGGGAAGTAGAAGGGGAAGATTTAAGAAAGTTTGCCCAGAGATCAAGGTCTCAGAGTTGCAAACAGTTCTATAGAGCTAGGATTTAAATGTGGCCAGTAAGTCCCTCCAACCCCAGTTCTTTGCCCAGATTCTGTGTGCAGAAGGCTGTAAACTTTCAGCTGGGAAGAACCAAACTTGGCGACTCAGCTAACTCTTGTTCCTCTAAACCGACTCATCTCCTAGTGGAGAAGGTGGTAAGAATGTGATCATAAACCAGACTGCTTGGGAGCTCATCTCAGTTCTCTGGATTGTTATTTAATCTCTCTACCTAAGTTTCTACGTTAGTGACAGCTTCCTAGGACAGTAACCATAGCTGAACGGGACAGGTCGTTTTGCTGGCTCCGTTACAGGTGAGACTTACAGATGCTAAATAATTTGCCCAAAATGTTACAGCTGGTTAGCAGGCAGAGCCGGGATTAGAGACCATGTCTTTGTTTACCAGAAAGGAATGCCTAGAGTGCAGACAGTCTCAGGGATGGGTGATAGATGTGATAAAAATGAGCTCTTAGCACGGTGGTGGATTGAAGAAAGGATTCCCTTTATTTGAGTAGGTTGGAGGAGAATCAGGAGTTGGGTCTTGAAAAGTAGAATTTTCCAGCAGTTTGTGGAAGAAAGCCTTCTAGGCGGAGGGAACAGCACTTGTAAAATTACGGAAACAGGAAAAGCAGGATGCCTGGGGGCCCCATGGCCCTGGAGAATGACGGGGGTGGGGAGGTCAGTAGTAAGAGGGAGGCTGTGGAACAGTTTCTTCGGGGTTTCACTGTATCAGATATGTATTGGAAGTTTTGATGTGCAAATTCTGGACCTCACCCCAGTCACAGTGAATCAAAATCACTGACGTCAGTGCCTGGAAATCTAGATGTTTTATGTTTTGTTTTAGTTTTTCTGTTTTCATTTTGAGATGGGGTCTCACATGCAGTCCAGGCTGGTCTTGAACCCACTGTGTATCCCAGGCTGGCCTTGAAGTCAAAATCCTACTGCCTCAGCCTCCTGAGTGTGCTGGGATTATAGACGCCCAGTGAAATCTACATTTTTAAGAAAGCAAGCCACTTGAATGTGAAGTCTACAGACACAAGAATGTCGGCAAAAGGCAAATTACAGGCCTGTGTGGCATGCTGAGGTTTTAGATTAGGCAAGGCCCCTGAAAGTCAGATTGGGGTTTTCAGAAAGATCTCTCTTGATAGTGCAGAAAATGGGATGAAGGGGATTTTCAAGGATACGAACAGGGTCTGGTTGTGGTGAGTGTATATTCTAGCAGGGAGAGGATATACATCCTAAGTAAAGCTACTCTTAAACTAAGAGAGTGAGTGGCGGTGGAAAGGAGGATGATAGCAATACCAGTCATAAAACGTGGGATCATCAGAACCTCGTGAGAGGTGGTCTCTGTGTGAAAGTGGGTTGGAGGAGTGTTTAGGAATCAGAGAGGAGTGTGCAGTTTTGCACTGGCAGGAAGAACTGGTTGGAACTCTTGGTGAGCTGTCCTATGAGGGAGAGTTGCCAAGAAGTGGTCGTATACCACCCATCTTTCCAGATCCCCCAGAGGAAAGCAGGGATGTAAACACAGCGTAACAGGGGCCACAACATCTACAGATAATGAGGCGAACATGGCTATGACCCCCTCTTGTGTAACACTTGTTAGGTAATGATTCTAACAGAAGACAGACATTTGGAATGTAAGTTGCAATGCAGAGAATTGAGAAGTATTGTACTAAAGCAAAGTACTGATCTATTAAGTACTTTGGTGATAAAGAAGCCTTACTGGATTATGGAGAAATGAAATAAAAATCTTAGTATTAAGGCCAAAAGTCATTCAAGGAAGATAAAAATTAAAACTCTACACTGTGTCTATCAGCTAGGGAAGTGGCTGGAAGTTTCTGGACAAGCACCACAGTGTCTTTCTTCCACATGATGTCATTTAGTTAGAACAAGGTCTTCAATAGTCAGCTACTGAATTATTCCAGTTTTCTATGACTGACTGACATTTACTATTGTATTTGGTCTTGGCCTCTCTGTTGCCCTAGAGATTGATATCTACTTGTTCAACCTCAAACCCTTTACAATTACTCTTAGCAAGAAGGGTTTCTTTTCTTTTCCTTTCTTTTTAAAGTTGCCTATGAGTAAGTGGGAGTCAGTGATTCCACTCATTTGTGCATGCTGGTGTTGGTAAATTGATAAGGTCTCTGCATGTTTTTGAACCTGAGCGTTTCTTTTCTCCCCATGTTGTTAACAGTATTCAGCACGACATAGCAAGACTTCATTTTATTAGCTGTCCTTCGGAGAGACTCTTGCGCTCCTAGGTTAAAATGTGGAACTTCTATAGTGACTTGTAATTTCTTAACCTTGCCTTCAGATTTTTACTCCAAGGGATTTTTCTTTGTTCCTTCCATTGTTACTTTGAAAGGAACTAAGCATAATGTCAACTTTGTAAAAAAATTTTTCTGTTGTAAACAACACACTTATAAGATACAAATTAGTATTGAAATGTTACTAACTACTTAACAGGTTACCTGGAGTGTCACTGGGGCAGTGTGTTTGTTTACAGGTGTCATTTCAGCCAGTCAGTGCTTGTATTGAATAAATTTGATCAAATGTCACTTTTATATTTCCTCTTACATTATCATATAAAAAGTAACAAAAAATATGCAAATTTTGGCCATCCTGTATTTAAATAATTGGAGTGGTAAGTGGTTAAACTAATTCTGTGTTACTTTTTAAAGTGAATTCTTTTGCAAAAATATAAATGCAATGATTAAAAAGTATCATTTATATTTGTATCACACAAACTAGAAAGTTGGCATTGCATTGTAAATAAAAGCAGGTTTTGAAACCAGCTATGCTGGGTTCTAATCCTGTTGGCCCCTTTTACCTGTCTGATTTTGAGCAAAATACTTGACTTCTTTGTGCTCTGATTTCTACATATATAAAATGAAGATATAATAATAAGCTTATTATGATAATTAGTGTTGTGTATCCCTGGTCCATAATTAATGTTAGTTATTTTACTTCATCTTTATCATCATTTACTCTGTTTTTATAACAGTCAAACAAGCCTTATTTTTTCAGAGACCTGCTAGTTTTCTGTACCTGGTTGGCTGTGAATAAATTAATAAATCAGACATTTTGAACTAGAATGGTCATGAGCTAAAACAGAAAATGGTTTTCGGGCCTAGGGATGTGGTTCAGTGGTAGAACTCTTGCCTTGCATGCACAGGGCCCTGGATTTGATCCCCAGCACCACCACACACACACACACACACACACACACACACACACACAAATGATTTTAAAATCCTTTCCTTGGTTTTGAGCTTTTGTTTTTAGTGACAGTCGCAAAGCTTCTGGAATTTTCCATCTCCCACTTTGGCCTTCCGAATGCAAATGAGAACCATTGGGTAATCGAAGGAGACACTGGGCAGGACATTATTTGACCTACATTCCTTTAGCCTGCTGTTCAAGAGGCTTTATTCATATTTGGGTGTGCAGTCCTGAGTCGCTGCTGGCAAACTCCATCTCCTCAGGCAGTCTTTCTTCCCACTTCCTGGATGCAGCACTTCGAAGGGCACTCAGGCTGGCACAGGCGCGCTGCTGCCTTGGGTGCTATGAGGGGAAAGAAAGGAAAAGGGCTAGCATGCGGCGCAGTGCAAAGAAAGCAGATTCTGGGGTTCACAAATCCTAACCCTAAGCAAATTATGTAACCTCTCGAAGCCTCACTTTCTCATTTATGAAATCCTAGACTGGAGGATTGCAAAACACATGGCA